TTCAAAATTATAATATATGTATAGTTCTCTAGATATGTTATTTTTTTGACAAATTTTCATTTTTATTCGATTTGGAACTGATTTTTCTAGAGTGACATAATAAGAGTATGTAGATAAGATTGAATAAAAGAATAATATCTTTGTTCTCTGATAAAATGAAAAATAGAACTTTCCTGGAAAGTATAGACACAAACATGAGTTACACTCCGAAATTATTACAAATTGTCAAACTCATCGCGAACGTCAACATCGTTGGCCACCACTCGGACGTGCAGAAAAAGAATAATAGTAGTATGCAATTTATTAATACTGCTAATGTTTCCTTTTTAATTTTAATATACGCGTATTTATTATTATATTGATACCCGAGAGGTCTAATCAAAAACACTACCGTGTTTACATCAATCAATTTTATCGACCTAGCGGATAAATCAGGCCGATAAATTAGGGTCACTGCAGAACCCAACGAACATTGATTCGCTAGATTCTATAATAACCCTGACTTATCAGTCTGATAATCCGCTGGATCGATAAGATTAATAATGACATCTCGTGACCTGTGTGAAGATAACTTTCCAACATTGAAAAACATAAAGTTTCTATAGCTCATTCGATTGCTCATCGTTTGCACATGTATGCACATTTCAAATTTTCGTTTGCCTTCTTCTAATAAAAAAAGTTATTAACAAAACAAATTTCGGGGGGGGCCATCTTCACACTAGCCCCCGAACTATGAGTAAATTAAATAAAAAATAGGTCAATTGATAGATATTCGTTTGCACATTGCCAAACAGGTCGATTTTTCGTTTGCACACCTCTAGTTAAAAAGTTATTAACAATTAAAGTTTCAGAAGCGAGCGAGTTCGATAGATGAAGTGAAAACAAAAATATTGTGCTTAAAATGATATCAATCGAAAAGTTGTGGCGTTTTCATTCATATTCGGTTCTTGTTTATTTCTCATAAATCTATTGCATGTTCTCGCTCATCTTTAATATCTGTACTTGAACGTTATATCTTGTAATAACTAAAAAAATTTGAACTCGCTCGTTTCTGAAACTTTAATTGTTAATAACTTTTTAACTAGAGGTGTGCAAACGAAAAATCAACCTGTTTGACAATGTGCAAACGAATATCTATCGATTGATTCTATTTTGAATCGCGTATCTTCGGAATTCATCCTGAAAACGAATTTTTTTATGTAGAACTGCCGCTCCCCAAGACTTTGTTTGTTAACTTTTTAACTAGAGGTGTGCAAACGAAAAATCGACCTGTTTGGCAATGTGCAAACGAATATCTATCAATTGAGCTATTTTTTATTTAATTTACTCATAGTTGGGGGGCTAGTGTGAAGATGACCCCCGAAATTTGTTTTGTTAATAACTTTTTTACTAGAAGTGTGCAAACGAAAATTCGAAATGTGCATATATGTGCAAACGATGAGCAATCGAATGAGCTATAGAATGAGCTATAGAAACTCTATGTTTTTCAATGTTGGGGGGCTATCTTCATACAGGTACCGAACGGTCATTTCTGTTTTCCAGATTAATATGTTTTTTCATGTATTAAAGATAATTTTTGAATTTTCTAATTTTTTATCAGTTTTCTCTTTGTTCTAATGGAATAATAAAATAAAAAAAAACTTAGAAAATATTAGAAAAATATATTAATTTAAAAAAAAATAGAAAAAAGATCGCTTGGTACTTCTATTAAATATAATTAAATATAATTAAATATAATTAAATCTAGTATTAAGTATAATTAAATAAATTATTAAATATAATTAAATAAATTATTAGAATAGCAGTATAAGCTTTTCTTTATATTGTAAAGAAAGAGTTTCGGAATAATTATTAAATGTAGAAATGTAAAACATTTCTATTTTACTTGAATATCTTTTTACAATTTTACAGAGGAAGAAAATATATTAGTACTGACAAAAGTTAATATACAAAATAATTATTTTCTCATTAATTTTTTATCTAAACTACAAATATTATGTACTTAAATAATCTGGCATGTATTATAATATAGTTAAATTTATTTTTACTAAAAAAGATTGTCAAATTTTATATAATTAGTAACGCGTTTTTGATAGCTTATACTGTTTTCTTGAGAATAGGATTGAAGAAAAATTTAGAATTGGCAAATACTCACTGAATTGTCTCATAGTTGACAGGTCAAAGATAGTTTTACTGTGGCTGTTATGGAATTATTTCTGATGATTATATATTCGTCACACTTGCAGTTTTGTTCGTTTTATATGCGCGGATCTATTCGATCTCGATCCGATATTGTCACAGATCATTTCTTAACTAGTGCTAGTGCTTCTCATGTTGTACTTCCAAGATTGCCAGTTCTCGATCTTTATTTGGCATTGTATCGAAAGTGGTGTAGAGATCGAAACTGGCTCTGAAGACGAGCGAGAAGAAAATGTGACATTGTGATGGAGAAACGGTCGATAATTTATACGATACGATAATTTATAGTAAATGGAATAATATGATCGTTTATGAAAGATATAATTGTATTAAATTTGTATTTTTTAACACACACGGTTTTTTTCAGGGCTTCAAAGTATTTTTCTTCACGGTGGGTGGCTTCTACATCGCATATCTACTGCTTCTTATATTAAAAGCTTACAGCGAACTACGATCCATGCCATATTTTGGTAAATATATTCTTCAATTTATACTAAAGCTTTTATTTAAGAAAAGCATAATTTTTTTTTATAATCTATTTGGAATTTTAAATGAATAATTTAATTATATAGATAATATTTATAACTTGAGCTGAAGACAGATGACATTTTTATCAAGTAAAAATGAATAATTTGATTAGATGAAAAATATTTAAAAATTGAACTGACAATAGATAAGATTTTTATGAAGTAAACATTTTATTATTCGCGTTTGACATTTATTCAAGCAAAAATATATTTATCAGGTTCATTTTGTATGTCAAAACTAATCTACAACACTTATTGTTTTAACTAAAATCTACAAAGTTAAAAATAATTTTAAATTAGATGGAATGACATTTTCGACAATTTACATGACAATCTACAATTGCTTGATGATAAACATGCGATTTGTTTTGCAGATTTACGTCTGCGGTTTTTGACATTGCTTGCCGCGGTGGTCGCCGGCGTTTGTAGTTTAGTCACCGCACGTCAATTCGGAGCTGGTGTGTTGGAGGACAGCTTTGCTTCTCGCCTTTCGACTTATTACCGCACATCCGCGCAGTTCATGGCTCTTTACGGTCTCCTCAATTTTTATTTGTATACCATGGCATATGTTTACGCACCTGCGCTCCAGCAGGTCTATGGACAACGTGAGTGTCTCAAAGAAGCAATTATACTTTTAATTTTCGAATATCCCTTACCACTCGAATACGCAGTTATAGCAGCGATGTACATTTCGAAAGTAGTCTTAAGAAACGTAAGAAGACGCTAAGAATAAAAAAAATCAACATAAAAGATTTATTATATAATATTTATAGAAAAACATATGGAGAAAGATTCATATTAGTCATTTATGAGAATGTTATATTGTTACTTGGTATTCTTTTGTTATAACTTTACTTAATTATAAAGCACAATTAAGCGTTATCATAAAAAGATTTTATAAATGTCGTTGATTCACATTTTTAATTATTTCTTTTTCGGATGTACTGATAGTATTAACTTAAATGTACAAAACAGATATATTTTTCATTATTTACGTTTAGAATATAATTTCTTTGTTATATTTATTGCAGATTCATCGATAACGAAAGATAGCCCTGCGTTTTCAATGTTCAACGATTCAGAGGAGGAAGTAATATACGGATCAGATGAGGACAGCCGACGTCCATTAACTCGTGCCCCGCGAAATGCAGAGGATAGTGACTGAAGGCCTTAAAGAAGATTTCATGTCTTAATTGAAAGATAGATGGATTTTCATTAAATGAAAAAGAAGGTTTTCGATTCTTGTTTCGATTCCGATTCGCAGTCATACTGCCGTCACATTAAAAATCGAGAAAAGTCAAACTGAAAGATGTAATTTGTTGAAAAATCAAATATTAATTTTAAAGAAAGACTTCGTGTCTCGTTTAGGGAATAAAGAAAGTTGCATATTGTATATAAAACTTGAATATATACTAATAATGTGAATTTATGTATTGTATTGTGCATAGAAGAATATAAGAATCGATCGAAAGGAAGAGATATGGAATGCTAGAAATAGATAAAAAATAGGAAAAAGAAAGGATTAAAAAAGTTTTTAAATGTTAGCAAATTTGAAGAATAGCATAGAAACAACTTGTTATTAATTTGTTTTGATTTATCTATTTTTTATAACAAAACTAAATAAGGTAGAATTTTATAAATAAATAAATAAGATATCGAAAAACTTATGATATTAAATTTCACTTTCACGATATTAAATTTTGTATATTCATTTATAATTATGAAATTGATTTTAACATTTTTTTATTTAATGTTATTTCAGATATTATGTATTTAAAATGTATTTTTTACAGTGTATGAAATGATGTACACATGCGTTAAAAAATGATAAGAAGGATAACAGCCAACTTATATTGTGTTAAATACTCATAAGATATTACCATAGTTTTTATACGAAATGTACTGTTTGGTATACGTACAGAGTATAAGAGTTTAAGAAAAATAATAGATATAATATCTTTACATATTACTAATAAAATGTTGCTATTATTATTAGGCACAAGATGTGCTCTTAAGAACACTGATATAAATATGTGTTTTATACCTGGAAATCCATTATATGCATTTAAACGGATTTATAAGGGAAACCGTTTTGAGAATTTGCAATATTAGATTCATAAATATTTCGTTAACAATAATTTGTAATTTCTTACTCTCGTAAATTAATTTTTTAAACATAAAAGTATGGCATAAGTAATTATATAAACATAAAAGTCTATTATACAGATATTTGTAAAAAAAGATATATATTTTGCGTTAACAGCAGTCATTTCAGATTATTATTGTTCACATGTCTAAACAACACTTGTACTTAATAAAGAAATCTTACAAATCATTAGAATATTTATTACTAAATGTACTGAATTTCATGTTTTTAGTATTTTGACCACTCTATTTTTACTGTTTCATTTTATTCTCTTTCTCTATCTTTGTGATCTCTATCTTTGTTTCTTATGAATTTATCACATCTGGATTAAAAATTTTTTAAAGCAAAATAAAAGAAACGAGAAAGTAGAAATGTTATAAAAATTTAGAAACATCGCAAATGTTATTTTTGAAAAATAATTTCTATTATTTTATTTCTAAATTTGATGAAATGATAGGTTATATTGTATTAACTTTATTTATATTATATTGATCATATGTATTACAATTAAACTACATAAGATATACTCTTTCTTCTTGCAATTTTTATATATAAACTTAAAATTTCAGATATGAATACGAAATTATGAGGAGAGTAGGATAATAAGAAATAAAACTCATACCACAGACAATTGCCATTCAATGTATGGTTTTATATCATAATGTTATTACAGAAATGGTATTTCATAATAATTAAAAGTAATAGTAGTTTTATTGGTAAATCACTCGCGCGGGTGCGCCGACGGATTGACCTTATCGCTTTCGGGATGTCGGCGTTCACATCAATCGACGCGCGCACACGGTATTTTTTTTCCCTTTTCTTATTTTTTTTTTTGTTCAATTACATTTTCTTTTTGCATCAAATCTTCCCTTTTTTCACCATTATCATTATTATCATCATACATAATGGAAAAAAATGTTACATTTGTACAGCCATCATATACATGTTACATTTAGAATACCGTTAATCCATTATCCACTTTTTTTCTCGTTAAATGTGTGTATAGAGAGTGTCATGTGTTTCCTTTTCTTTTTCTCTCGGTGTGTGTGTGTGTGTGTGT